CGAACTTTTAAATTGAAATTGATAAGGCTGTAAATTATCAATCTAATGAATGGATGAATGAATTTTTTTCTTGATTGATCGCATGGGGTTTTTTGTAATGGGTGCGGATTGTGGCCTTTTTTCTAGCCTTTGCCCTTTTCTCAATGGGATATGATGATGTCAATTAATATAAATGGCTATTACTATCCGGACGAAGAATGTTTGTTGGACCTTTCGTTGTTGGGCTAGATTTGGATGGCCCATTATATCTTGGCATATAAGAAATTAAATATTTTGGAATTAACCAAACCTGGAAAACAAATTTAAATTTATCTTAAATGAATTAATATCACTTTACATGAAATGAAATGGAAACACTTAAAAAAAATATATATAAAAAATCTATTTAGCTTCTGCTAGCTAGGGTGATTTGGACATTGCTGTGACAAAGGTTCCTGAGTTTGGTACAAGTCACATTACTAAACACATGATTAATGAATTTCTTTTGAATCGTATTGCTTGCAAAGCATCCAGTTCCTTTCATGTTACAGAAATAAAATAGGTAATTTATTAGCATGCATAAGAGAATTATCCTTTCTGCTTTTGTCGTCCACTGCCTTTTTTATAATGGATAATTTAATTCACTTGATGCTTTGACTGTTTGACCACTTGTATTTTCGTGATTAATTCTAAAACATTGTAATCAGGGATTCACAATGGATGATAGTTCTGTTACAGGTTCTTGTCTATCGGTACTATTGACTCTGATATTTACAAATCCCAATCCCAATCCCAATCTCAATCTCAATCCCAATCCCAATGCCTCAGCCAGTCACAAAATAATTTACACGTGTCAGACAAAAGTATTCATTAAGTCATACATGCTTTAAGCGGAATTACACATACAACGATCAAATAAAATATTAAATTAAACATATTGTACACATAATTAAGTCTTAAACTTTAATGAAAACATAAAAAACGGGGAGGTTAAACATAATCAAATAAGTTTTTTTTGAACTAAAAAAATCAAATTATTTTAAATATAGTATAATTAAAAGATAATTATGATTAGTTATCTATAGATAACGAAAGTTAGATTTTAGTTTTGGATAAGTAAAAATAACTTTTTATCCGTTAGATCGCATATTTTGATGGCGAGCAATGGTAGCATTTGCATTCCTCCAAACTAGGAACAAAGGTTTTTAAATAATTTGTCATAGGTAACAACATTTTAAAACTGTTTAATTTCACTTAAAAAGCCATTCGAGTATGTATGAGACATTCTGTAGCTCAAAGAGAAAAAATATTAATCATGTTTTGGTCTTATTTGTTAAATTAAATAGCTCTCAAATGTACACTAGAATGAATCAAAGGTTTAGTTTTTTTTTTTTTTTATTACTTCTAATTTCTGAACACGAGTAATGGTCTCCTGTTGATGAGTGATGGGTAGCAATTATTTTCATGAGCACTAGTGTCTGGCGTTTTATTTTGGAGCCTTGCATCAAAGTATAACATGTGATCCTCATGCTCATGGGAATACAGTACTAAGTAGTCCGTTTATAATGCCTGCATAACATGGGGGAAAGCACCCAGCCCCACCACAAACAACATAAACTTTACCCCGTCTGTAATTAAGTGGACCCTGCAAGTCTCCTTATCCACTAAATTTGGACGGTTGTGGAGTTCAGTGGACATGGAAAATGTGTGCCACCGTGGGAGTTGAGAGTGAAAGAGATTTCATATCTATATAAATTGAGATTGACGGCAACAGCTCCATTGCTTGCATTTCACTTTCGTAAATACTGTTATTCTTGACTTCCTCATCATAATCTCTCTCTGTATATACGGTTGGGAGTAAACAATCTACTTCCAAAAACATATTTATCACAACTTTCAGGCATCTTAATTTTATTTATTAAGAACGGCAAGATAAGCATCCATTTGCACTTTGCAACCTGGAAGCTGATCACAAGGAGAAATTTTATGGTATTTAAGGAGTACTTAATATAAATTATTTTATACAGAAAGACAGATACAAATAAGAAAAAAATAGAAGAAAAAAATTTTAAAAAATTAAACTAACATGAAAATTTTCTTTTAATTTTTTATGGGTCGATATATGAGAGGATTGTCAATTTTTTTTCTTCTGAAAAATGAATTTATAAAATAATTGTTGTAAATATTTACTAATTACTCTTTAAGTATTATAAAATTTCTCAACAACCAATACTTATCATTCAACTAAATCAGCAATTATTCAATACTTTAGAGAACTGTTTCTTCGTTCAATTCGTATATAGTTATTGCTTATATCTCACAAACCGAGAGAAATTTGAAAAAAACAGAGAGAAATTTTGAAATACGCATAAATTAATTAATAACATTTATTTTATGTGTCCACTTACGAGAGACATATATATATATATATATATATATATATAAAAGAAGAAAATTACATTGGAATACAAAAATAAAATAAAATTGATAACAATATTTCTACATAGACTTTTTTTTTTTTTTTTTTTCTTTTTTCTGTTAGTTATTCTTTAAATAACATAAAATTTTTCACAAACATGTTTTTACTGGAGTTTCAATTTGAACCATTGGTGTTTGATATTTAAATATTAAAACTATGTTGGTCTCTATTTCTAATTAAAATCAACCTCATTTTCTGTTAATTTGACACTGAAAGAATGTATGAGAAATTTGGTGAAATTCTATCGGCTCTAATTCAAAACAAGAAAAGTTCATTAAAAACTGAAAAAAAACACTGATTATTTATTGGCAACGGTGAGTTGCCAACGTAAATAAATAACATAAAATAAAAATCAGCAAGATTGGATAAATAAAAATTATAAAAAAGTATTATTATTATTATTTTTAAATGTTTCATTTAATTTTTTTTAATTTTAATTATTTCCTTTTAAGTTGGAGATAAAGAAACTGAAGACGTGCTCCTCTTCGATCTTCAAAATTAAAGTCAGCAGAAAATTAGATTGAGTTTGGATAAATGGACAACGTCATTTTAACATGCAAATTAACATCATAAATAGTCAGTTATTTAAATTAAAATCTTGTGAAAAATCAATACAGTGTAGATCTGTAATGTCTATCAAGCGCGGCTACCAAAATATATTTTGATGTCACTATTAATTAACTGTCCCTGTCCATATATAGAATTACAGCATAAAAGATGATCGTGTTCTAGAATGCATGCCTTTTTGTTTCAACTCATGCCCAAAGAATAATGAACTTTGGGTCACTATATGCTTGATTAAAATCAAACAGATTCTACAAAGTGCAAGTTAATCTGTGTCAATTCCCTATTGCGTGCTTACCCCAACTCATATATAATTATTTCAATGTTTCCTTCGATTACAAGTCATCACCACGAGAGTCAACAAGTTATCGATTTTTTTTTCCAACAACAGAGCTTGTTATGCTCATATAAATTACCAAAAAGAAAAAAAAAAGAAAGAAAGAAAACGACTCCTAAGCTTATTGCCAACTTTCAATATTTAGAATTTTAAACCTTAATCATATCTACTTGTAAGTTATAATAGAGTAATTTATTATTTCAATAAATGAAAAAAAATATATAAAATATTCATATCAATGTAAATAAATAAATGATTTTTTTGTCGATGTCAATGGTATTTTCAAAATAATTTGTATGTAAATGAAGATAAATTTTTTTTATCAATAATTTAAAAAAAATGCCTGACAGGCCGATACAATGTATTCTAAAAAATTTAATAAAATTTTTATGAATAATAATTTTAAAATTTGAATCCAAAACATTAAAAAAAAAGAAATTTTTTTTTTTAACTACAAGGTCATCCTGTTGAATTTATATACTAATGAATGATAAAGTATCGATGGGAGGAATGATAAATTGTCTAGTTTCCAAAAACTAAAAAAATAAAAAAAATTGCTTTGTACAAAAAGCCCCTTTTGCGTGCCATTATTCTTCGGGGTTCCAGTTCCAGCAGTTGGGTGATATATTCAAAACAGTGAAAAACGCAACTACTATTCTTTCACACATCCTGCTGCGTAGATGATCGGATCGGATGACACCCGAGTATCCATAAGATTCAGTTACTATTTCATACCCAATGACTCTTTCACCCCCATATTGTTCACCAATAATAATAATAATAATGATATTAATAGGAAAAAAAAAGAAAAAAAATCATTCCTTCAGTTCTCTTTTCAAAACAATGTATGCATCAATTAACGTTATATTATATTGTTTTATTTATAGTTTTAATATATATATATTTTTCTAATGTGTATAAAAAAATTAAATATTCTTTTAAATTCAAAAAAATTAAACTGCAAAAATCCACGTATCAAACAAATTTGATTAAAACAACTAACAAGACACATCAAGAAATTGGGCACGCAAAATAATAAAGTGGACTGGAAGCGCAACACAAAATAAAAAACTGCACAGGTGATTCCACATTTCTTTTGATAGCGACATTCGGCTTCTAATAAGAAAATAACCCAAGACCAAGAGCAACACCAAGAGAAGAGAAAGAGCGGATGCCCCCCAGCCTCGATTGCCACTGCCAGTAGTCTAAGCAAAGACCTCTTCTCGTATGGTCAAAAAAGGGTCATCAAAAATTAAATCAAAATCAACATTGACTTCAACCACAACCAATTCTTTTTACCCTTTTTTAAACCCCAATCAAAACCGATCACTTCTATGCACCCGATCCACGCTTTAGTCTCCCACACGCGTTTCCGTTTATCGTGCGGTGCGAACAAAAGAATATGCCACGTGTACTCACTTTTCACTAACTCTGGTTGCTTTATCAAACCTCACTAACCCTAGTACAATATCTATATATTCCACCCCTCTCCCTTCTTCCCCTCTCTCTCCCCCTTTCATTTTTGTTTCCAAGTTCTCAAAATTTAAAATTAAACCCCCAAATTTTAAATCAAATCACATTTCTAAATTGAATGCAATCAAAATCTTTCAATTTCATCCTCGCAGAACCCATTCCATTCCAATGGCGGACGGTAAGAGAGGCCGCGTAGGCTACGCGCTGTTGCCAAAGAAACAACAAAGCTTCATTCAAGACTCACTGCTCTCCCTCTGCAAATCAAAAGGCATCGATCTGGTGAAAATTGATCAGGACCGTCGGTTAACCGATCAAGGACCGTTCGATTGCGTCCTCCACAAATTGTACGGTGAGGAGTGGAGGAAACAACTCGAGGAGTTCCAAATCCAAAACCCTAAATCAACAATAATCGACTCGCCTGCCTCAATCGAACGACTCCACAACCGAATCTCGATGTTACAAGTCGTTTCGGAGCTAAAGATCGAGTCAGAAACCGACACTTTCGGCATTCCGAAACAGATTGTGATTTACGATAAGGAAACGCTTTTCGACCGGCAATCTTGGGAGTTTTTAAAATATCCGGTCATTGCGAAACCATTAATTGCCGATGGTAGCGCAAAATCGCATAAAATGGCTTTGGTTTTTAACCATGAGGGTTTAAATAAATTAAAACCCCCAATTGTCTTACAAGAGTTTGTTAATCACGGCGGCGTTATCTTTAAAGTTTATGTGGTAGGGGAATTTGTTAAGTGTGTGAAAAGGAAGTCTTTGCCGGATGTTTCGGAAGAGAAACTGAAGAGTCTAGAAGGGTCATTGTCATTTTCGCAGGTTTCAAATTTGACTAGTATTGAGAGAAATGATGATAAGTATTACAAGTTAATGGATTTGGAGGAAACTGAGCTGCCACCTCAGAGTTTTATTACAGATATTGCTAGAGGATTGAGGAGGGGGCTGAAGTTGAATTTGTTTAATTTTGATGTGATTAGGGATGCTAAAATTGGGAATAGGTATCTTGTGATTGATATTAATTACTTTCCTGGGTATGCGAAAATGCCGGGTTACGAGACTGCTTTGACTGATTTCTTTTGTGATGTGGTGAGGAACGAGAGGGAGGTGATGGGGAAGAGTTTGAGCGAGGGAGAGAGTGAGGAGAAAGAGAAAACTGGGGTCGATAAGCTACTATTGGTGCGTAATTGTGATGTTGAGGTGAGGAAGGTTGTGAGTATTACTTGTTGTAGTGATGGGGAAGAGCAAGAGAAATCACCCATTCTTCAAGTTTGAATTGGGAAGTAGAAAACTAAATTAGGGGATAGCGGTGGGTGTGGCTTGTTGGGTTCATTCAGTGATAGGTGGGGAATTGGGTCAAGGATGGGGAATGTTTCTGAGGATTAGTGGGCTGGATGAAATTGCACATTTTCTGATACGTAGGAGGGAGGAGCAGGAGGTACAGTGGTGGAATAAATACGTTTGTTGCCTCTTTGGTGGTAGGTTTAGCCTCTTGACATATTTACATGGTGTTTCAGTGTTGAACATGTATATTCTGTCAACAACTGCTCTGAAGTTAGGTAATTCTCAAATACTCTTCTTCACGTTTTTAGGGAAGTTTAAGTTGCATTTTGAGCTTTCCAAGTGTTTCCTTTGTTTAGAAGTTGTTTTAGTTTAGTGCAATTTGGCACCTTTGGTAAATGTAGTTTCCTTTTTTTTGTCAATGAAATTTATAATCTTACTTTCCATGCCTTTTGTTTTGGTTGATTGAAGGTTTTTTTTTTTCGTTTTGTTTTTTTGTTTTTTGTTTTTTTGTTTCTTTTTTTGTTTTTCTCCCATGCTTGATATGGGAAGTTATCCGTGCAATTAAAACTGTTGTTGATCCATAAGGTCGCTAACTTGGTAGATTTAATAGAATATAGCTCAACAGATCAGAGAAATGAATGCTTTTGAGAAAATCCAGTTTCCAAATCACTGGTTCTATGAGAAAAGACGCATTTGGTACAATGCTAATGCACACCCTTGACTGTCACGTTGGTTGCCATGGAATTTCCTCACATGAAATTCTATTTAGTTTCATGAGTGTTTTGGAAATTGTTTGTTCATTGATGGAGTTTAGATATTCTATTAGAAGTGCACTGAATGCGGTTGCAAACTAAGACTATGAGTTCGAACAAAGCACTTAATATCTTTTTCTATGAATGTCGGCAAAAAGGAACTGCATGCTTATTGCTTGTTTGTCAATTGGTGATGCTAAACCTGTTTGGAGGAAGTTTCAAGTGGTGCAAATGACTAAAATTTTTATCATTGGACCATCTGCGACCCAGTTTTAGTGATCATACAGGACTGCAGTTGTTTATTCCAGTTTTGTATGATGCATGAGTGTTATGAGTATTGCTTGGATTTCTGTCTATACATTTTGAAGGGAGTTAGATTACAAAATCTGTATTGACATAGAAGAGAAGATTGACCTGTTATGTTAAGGGTATATTTAGTATTTAGCATTTAGCATAGGGTTGTCCTTTTGTTTTCTCAGGTGCTACTTTCGAGGGGTTTACTTATTGATGCTAGGATCATGTAACATTTCAGATCCAGCGGAACTTTACTGATTTTAAATCCCAATACTTTATATGTGTCAAATTCCAAGCTCTTGTGCTTTGGTCCGATTCTGACACTATGCATCAGTCTAGTTGTTTTTTTATTAGATTCGAGCAATATCTACCTACACATTAAACACTTTATGTTCTTTGCTTGTAGTTTGAATATTCTGTCCAAAGTATGTTAAAAGTACACACTGCTTTTCCAACGCCTTTTGACTTTGTTTAGAATTAATAGAGGAGCTAATCCCCTTTCTAGGAATGTTTGCTAAAGAAACAGATATCTTTGGACCCATGCCATGGTGGGTAACGCTAAAACAGACACGATGAGTGTTTGGACTGGTGTATGACCAAGAGTTCCAGTTTATTTTTGTACGTTCCATGGACTTAGTATCTCTTGTTTTAAACTCTATCTATATTTAGGACGGTTTTCTTGTTCACTGATCCTTGACATGACAGGATGTTATCTTGTAATTTTAGGGGGTACATAGGTCTTTTCTGCATAACATCTGTTTTAAGCTTAGGATTCTAACTTGTAACAAATTATCGACCTCACTTTCCAAAAATTTCATACTATGTTGGATTGCAGCATGCTGTGGTGTTGTCCGATTCCAGAACTGTGAATCAATATAATCCTCAGACTTTGCCCATTTGTGCTCATGCTCATTCAATACATGTGTGGCCATTTATGTCACCAATGTAATTTCCATATTTAGATACACTCTAGGCATATCTGAACTTTGCACTATGTGCTTCGACTATTAATGCACGCTATGGCTGTGTTATGATTAACTGTCTTAAACTTTGGAAATGTATTTAAGATTTCTCTCTGTCCTGAGGTTGTGGTGGATGCTTGTCCTTGGATCGAAAGGGGGTGTTATACCCTCCACATAGAAACACAAGTGCAGTTCTTTCATAGCAGTGTCGATGGTTTCTTTTTCATGTTAGGAAAGGTAACTTGCACTTGGTTCCAGATGATGTATGCTGCTAATTCCCATGTTTTTCCTCCCGCTGTTGGACATATATGGGAGGCAGATTGTTGGCATTAAAGAAGTAAAAATTGAATATCGGTCCTCTAATGAGATGAGATTACAAAGATATTGCTACATAAATCGTCAAAAGGAGAGGAATAGGAAGGCAAAGACATTTAAAAACACCTAGCGAAGTTTGTCTAGAAACTTTAATTCTTTGAAAATCTTTATGCCCTTCCCATTTGGTCATTGGGTTTCTCCATTTCTACTACTGATTGGTTTCTTGAATGCTCCAGTTGTCCAGTGAAACCTTCCAATTCCTCAGTTCTTTCCTTTTTAATTATCAATGTTTACTTTGAACCGTTCTGCTCTGATATGAAGAACTGGTGTTGTCCTGGATGATGATTGAATACAGAATATTTTCATGCTTTTGGCTTTTAAAAGAAGTGCTTAAGATTACCAGTCAGTTATTTGTGATTGCCTTTATGTTCTTGGTGCCAGCTAACTGTTTCTGCATTTCTAATAAGAATGGCTGCAGTAAGCAGTTAAATTTAAGTCACGTCAGGAAATTGCTTTGGGGATCAGTTTTATGGTTCATGGATTAATGTGGTTTAGCTCAACAGCTTTGAGTTGGTGTTGTTCTTGAACTGAACGTAGTAGGCTCTCCATACCCGTGTGTACATTATTGTGACCGAGCTCAATGATCAGAACCAAGGAGGCAAAAGTTAGGTGGGTAAAGCTCAGCTGGTATTATTGTTCTTATTATGGTTCTGTAAGAATTTCTTTTTAGCTATCGACTCTGCTGGAGGATTCTGATTTCATATTAATATATCTACCATGTATTTATTGCATTAATTGCAGCTAGCTGGCTCTACTATTGCCAAGTTAATAATACAGCTGCTTATATTTAGGTAGGGCACACAACCAGCTCTTCACTGAAGGAGTTTGAGCAATGCAAGATAGATGGTGCCATACATTCTATAATTTATTCTAGCATGCGTCCAACACATTTAGCATTTATAATATTTCCCAGATAATTATATCAGTTCCTGTGAGCTAGATCTTCCAAGCGCTTGTCTGTTGATTCTCTTTTTTTACCATTTATATTTCCTAGATAATTATATCAGTTCATACTAGCTAGATCTTCCGAGTTCTTTTCTGTTGCTATTTTGGCTAGCCAGATCTTCCTTTGTAATTCCTAAAAACATACTGGTTGGAGGATAAATGAGAAAGTTAGAAAAGATTTATTTATGTTGCCAAATCCTATATATTTTTATTATTGTTGAACAAGCTTGCAGTTCAAGCAGACTGGACCATGGGATGCTACTACTGGATATTGAGCTCTCTAGTTCACGACAAAGCATACGGTAGATGAAAAACTCAGTTATTTTTTGCTGGAAGTTAACCTTCTGTTGCCCCAATCGTCACATGATATTGATGCTGTATATGTGGGCAGAGAAACTTGCTTTTTTACTCTTCGACCCCATCTTCATTAAAGTTATGATAGTCGGAACAGAAGTTTCCACATCAGGTCTGATTTGTGTATGTATTCTTTTTGAAGAAGGATTGCCCTCACAATCTGACGTTAAATTATTCGGTCTAGCCATCTGAATTGTTTGAGGAATCATAGTTGATGTTTTGAAAAAAGTGTTAATAATTGTCAAGGTTTTTCTACCTTTTTTTCTTTTTGTTTTTATTTGTCTTTAAGTTTATTTCTTCATGTTTGGTTCATGTTTTAATTTCATTTTTTCTGTTAAGTCCTGGACTAATATTATTAATTTTTTTTCTATCTTAATCTCATCCATCTACTTTATTTTATGTTTTTAATTTTTTTTTAATTATCGAATTTAAATAAAAAATATTCAAAAAAATGTAAAGAAATATTTGGTTATTCTCTCTAAAAATTAAAAATAAAAAAAAATAAAAGAGAAATGAAGTTAAAAATATATTTTTATTCAAAATATAAATATCTTTTATGAGTTTAAATTTATATCTACGATGGTGATAATAAGTAAATTTTAAGTATAAAATAAAATATTTATAGTATTTTTTAAATATAAAGAGAGATTTAGTTAAAATTTTAAACTTTTTAATGGTATTTGTAATTTTATAATACCTCAAAAATGTTTATTATAATTTATTTATTTTGATTTTATAAATTTTTAAATTTAACGCAAAAGTGAAAATATAAATTTTATTACAAATTTTAGTCAAATTAAAAATTTTATTAGTGCTGAATCCAACACTAACAAAAAGTTATATTCATATTTTTAGTGAAATTTAAAAATTCATAAAATTATAATAAGTAAATTATAATAGATTTGTTTGAGATGTTACAAAATTATAGGTAGTATTCAAAAGTTTAAAAATTTAACTCTCTTAACATTTTAAAAAATACAATAAATATTTTATTTTTTATTTATTTATTTTTAGATAAAGTTTAGCACATAAAGAATATTCTGGATAAAAAAAATATATATATATTTTTGGAGAGAATGATAGAATATATTTTTACCGGTTTTAAGCCTAAAAAGTATAACCTAGAAAGCTTTCGGACACCCTACTTTGGCATTGCCGCTGTTTGGGCCTAACTATCTTATAGACGCGGGCCGAAACTTTTTCACGAACTAGCCAAGTGGGGCTTAGATTGTTGAAGTTGTAACACTTGTTAAAAGCGGTTGGGGCCTCAAAAGTATAAAAAACTTCTCTCTAGTCCTTGGCAATTAGTCCTTTAAAAACCTTAAAAGCAACAATGCTTCCGAGAGAGGAAAAAAAAAAAAAAAAAAAAGAGACAGAGAGAGCCATAGAGCAGTTTCTCATTTAAACAGCTAACTATTTTCTTCCTACCATTGAAGAACTTCAAAAAGATGAAATTTAAAGAAGAAAAGGAACAAAACTAAAGAGAATCATGTTGCTTAATTAGAGCTTGTTTGATATCATTTTCTGTTTTGAATTTTTGTTTTTAGAAAATAAAAAATTGCTTTATGTTTACTATTTTTTAAAACTTGTTTCATTTTAACAAGGAAAAAGTCATGCCCAAATTTACTTTGAGAAATAAAAAATATATTAATTTTTAGACAAACATTAATATCACATAATTTAATCATGATGATGAAATGGTGGCATCATGACTGCAACATACATGTGTGATGTTGATGCTGACAACATAATAATTATTGATATGATACTAAATTGAGAATAAAGATTATAATAATACTAAATTTATGATAATTGTTATTTAACAGATAAATAGCAGTTGATAATAATATGATAGAGTTAATCACAATAATATGGTTGTGACAGAGATCATAGCAATATTTTTGATAATACTAATGGAGTTGATAATAATGATATTAAAGTTAAAGAGGTGATTCTAGGGGGGAAGAAACCCAGTAAATCACAGTGATACCAGATAACAACTTTAATTTACTCGATTACTTTTTACCATAAAAAGAAGCTTATTTTCATGAGGATTTTTTTGCTTCAATTTAGCCATGCTCGGGCCGAATATCAGATTCGTCCAATGCGCTTTCTTTCTGCTCTTTTTCTTATGCTTCATTTTTAAGTGCGATCTAGTAAATTCAAATCTTACATTTTTTTTCTTTTTAATCTTAATGAGAATGAATACATGTCTAGTAAATAACACCGAGTGACTCGTCTTAATTGTTTGGAATTTTTCCTCTTTGGTAATCATTTCCTAAACTCTGGTTCTAGTTAACAAAAATGTTAATGCATTTGACAAATCCAACTGCATCGTATTCTTCGTGTCAATTATGTCATTTGAATGCAAGTTTCTAAATTTACCTAATTTGATTATCTCCAGGCTGCATTTTCAACTCAAGTAAAATGGAGCTAACTTTGGGCGGTTAGGTTGGTAACTGTACTTTGCTACAGTCAATTACTTGAATTGCACGTAAATTATCTCACCTAATAAGGAACAAGGTAACGAATCATCTGACTTTTAATGACGATACATGTACTAGCATCCAATTATAGATCTTTTATATTAGCAAGGATGATTGCTTTTCCTACTTTATTAATCATTTCATATTACACTAAAAAGACAACAAGAAGAATATTGATTAATGTCCTCAAATTATTTTGAAATGGGAGTCATGACATAATCGACTTTGACATGCCATATATGCAAATTATATATGCAGGTCAAAAACTTATTTCACCTGGACCCATTTTAGGGTTTTAAGAATCAACATTGATGTTCGTCCCGTAGGTGTAAAAAGAAAAAAGATCAGTTCATTTCATCCACCCAATCTTCTTGAGGGACAGGACATCAATCATTTAATGTACAGAAAAAAAAAAAAAATTAGTACATGAGTTTGCTATAACAGAATTACAATGGAAATAGTATAAGTATGTTTATATATGCTTTAGATTTTTATTGTTGTAAAAGGAACTAATTGCAGCTACAAGTAAAAATAGGCAATTTCCAAGATTTGGGAATATTTGGACGTATCCAATTTTTACAAAAGTATAGTTGAATCTCAGCAAAACAATCTCAACATGTATAAGAACAAAAAGAAAAAAAGAAAAACAATTATGTTACACAAGATTTTAAATGAACGAATTGTGTTTCCTGCACCAAGAGCTAGCATGCATCAATGCTTGTTGAAAGAGTGTTTCTCTCAGAGTTATGCGATCAGGATGATGATGTCAAACTGCAAACAAGAGAATAAATGTTAAATTTCTTGCAAATAAAGATGACGAAGATAAAAAGTTAACCAAGCAAGTAAAATTTTTGAAAAATTCAGATCCAATATTGGGAACCTTATCGTAGTAAGAAGAAGGAATGAAATCGAAAAGACTATTTGCAGGGAAAAAGAAGTAACCTACTCCAGAATATCATTCCAGTAGGAGCTATAGTTGTCATCTTCGATTAGCTTCTCCCAGGCCTCAAAAATAGTGGAGGTAGGAGTGCCAGTACTGGAGTAGTTTGATGGGTTTGCCTTGCTTTCTGTTTGGTTAAAGATGGAAGTTCCAGGGGAGGTTGAGGCTGAAACCAATGCAGGAAGTGGATTTTGATCTGTTTGAATACCATAGGAACTGCTCAAGCTGTTATTGTCCATGTTAAGGCCTTCAGGGCCAAATCCACCTTTATAGCTTGCCCATAAATTTGAGATAGCTTGGAAGTCATTGGGTGATTGAGTGGTTACAGGTGGTTCAAAAAGATCCTGAGATATTGGGTTTGGTTCCCTAGTATTGGAGATGATTGCCCCATTGACTAGTCCTTCAAACAGGTTGGGATTTTGCGATCCTAACAAACTGTTGTTCTCAGGATTTGCTAGCGTGTTTGTATTCATAATCAGTAAAAGATTTCGCAACAACTGGATATTGGCTAATTGATTGGCATCTGCCTGTAACTTGAGAAAGTTGTCCCATGGACTTGCCATGTTGCCAAATTGTGCTGCACCAAGCAACTGAGAGAGATTCAAAAAATTATTTACGTCAGTTCTTGGTTTGTGAGTGTTTGGGTCAATCCCCATTTGAAGAAGCTTCTTTCTTATGTGAGTATTCCAGAAGTTTTTGATTTCATTGTCGGTCCGTCCTGGAAGATGGTTAGCAATCCTTGACCACCTGCAAGTTCAAGTAAATGGAAAATCATAAAGCTTTATAAGGACAAATACTGATGGCACAATTATGTAAGCTAGCTGAAAAGGAAAAAGAAGAACTGCGCGCATACTTGTTTCCAAGGACAGAATGAAGGTTGACGATGGCTCGTTCTTCTTCCTCAGAAAATTTTCCTCTCTTGATATCAGGCCTCAGATAATTCGTCCACCTCAATCGGCAGCTCTTCCCACATCTGTTCAATCCAGCAAGCTTAGGGAGTGCTTTCCAATTTTCATGACCATTTATTTTAATATAATCAATTAGCTTCTCATCCTCCTCCGGCGTCCATGGTCCTTTCTTCAAGTCACTGCCGTGGCTAAATGGAGACCTAACCATTATGCGAAGGTTGCTAGAAATAAGGCAAAACAAGATTGGAGATGTTTTGGATACAAATGTCGACTTGAAATGTTTAAAGCATTAGACAAGTTGCTATGGCTTCAGTTTTTGAGGAGACATGTATACTTGCTTATATAGTTGCATGAGAGACGTAATTGAAACGATAAAGGTCATTTTCATTCTTTTATAAAATTCCTCTTTAAGTAGCTTCCAAAATCAAGGCAATTAGGGGAAGGTCGATCTCATAAACATGGGTATTATTCAACAAGAGGGAAACCAGTAACCAACTACAATGGCATTAAAATCATCATGATTAGGTAGTGCAAATGCCATGTTGGAAATGTACGTACGTATATGAATTTTCAGAAAGTGGACCCAGAAATTTATCCTCAGCTATTAATTATATCAATCCTTTGTATTATATATAGTTATCTGATTCTTAATTATTCATCCAATATTAAGAAAAACGCAAAGGATTAATTGGTATTATTGAAAACGAATGATAAACGCAACGCCAACGTTTCGTTTGGTGATTTGAATATGCAACTATCGACGCACCTTCTCTTTTAAAAAAATTAATGGCAAAAAAAAAAAAAGGAGAAGAAATCACTATAGTTAGCTCATAATTAACAAAAAAACTAAATCTCAGTCATGTGACGTTTGGAAAGTTAATTAACTATTCGCCTAGGTATAGATCACTATTCATACATTGTTTATCTATATAAAAATATATTATTTATTCAGCAACATTTTTTGAGATTCTGAGATTCTGGATTAGCTTTAAGTATTGTTTTGTGATAAAATAAGAATGAAAGTCTTATTTTTACTTTATAAGTATTTGGTTGAAACAATTGAAGTGAAAATAAAATATAATTTTATTTATAAGAAAAATGAAGATAAAAAAATATTTTTTTAAAATAATATATTATTTATATTTATTATACATCAAATTATCAGAAAAATTAAAAATAGCGGATAGTTTTTTTTTTTTTTTTTTGAGGATCTAAAAATCTGTAGAAAAAAGCAATTTTTAAAAAATATTATGATTATTATTTCATTATCACTTCTACCACCAGTTTTCCACAATTAACATAGTGTTAATCTTTTTAAAATATATTATTATTATTATTATTATTATCATTGATCACTATTTTTTCCTCATCCTCTTCTTTTGTTACAACGATCACTATCATCATTTTTGCTATGGCAATCATTGATAAATTCATCATTCTTTTTCATCTCAAGAACTAGAGATTAAAAATTTTAAATGTTATTTTGATCTCTTGTTGTTATTCTAAATACAATATTAGAATAAAAATGTTATTCTGATTTCTTAATTTTTATTTCAATTCTTTCATTTTTATTCTGCATTTTTATTAGAAATAGTAGATAAAAGAATGGCACCTAAGTATTAGCTTTCTACTATTTTATTTACATTTTAGTCCTTGATTTTGATGATCTTTATCTTTGAACAACTAAATTTTATTTGGCCTATATTTTGGTCCCTGATAGTAGAGGGATAAAAGAATTAAGGAGAGATAAAACTCAGTTGGGCTCTTTCTAGCTTAAAAAATCGCTACTCTTGGTGTTCATGTGTTTGGGTTGACGAAATTAATATTTTTTAATTGTTTTTATTTTTTATTTTATGGTGATTTCAAGGTTCAATGTGGTTGGAAAAGGGAGATTGATATCTGGAAAACATATACTAATTGTTTTTGGATTTGTTTTGAATTTTTGATGTGTTTAGGCTAATTAAGATGTATTTAATTTGAAGTTAAAAATGGGTTTAAAGATTGTTAGGATGGCTTTTTAGGTGTTTGGAGGGTAACAACGTAAAATATTAGATTTTGGGGCCGAATTAAACCCTCAACCTTTTAATTTCCAGCAACCAGAAGCTTGCCAGAAATTGCAACGAGCAAGGCATCGAGCGTAACCAAAGGTGGATGAGGCTGCACTCTTTTTTTTTCAAGACTAATAATGTGTTTGGCATGAGGGAAAAAAAATTGAAAAATTATATTTTTTGAACTAATATATTAGAAGGATAATATTTTACCTCTTTTATTTATTTATTTATTTATTTTTTCATGTTTCGTACATAATTGTTGAGAATGGAAAAAATTAAAGAGGGTAATATTTAACCCCCAAAAAAATGGGATTAAGAGTTACCCTCCAAAAAAGGAGAAAAAAAAAAACAATGGGTCTCATTTCCTTTTTATATATACTATATGTTTCAATTTTGTTTAGTGATAGTCAACCCATTTCACAACAATCTAATAATTTGAATATTACATATAGTTTTATTTGAATTAATACACACGAGCTTATTGATTTTGTTTGATTTTGAATTGAATAAAATAAAAAGTTGAGAACACAAATAAATATATTATAAACTACAAGTAAAAAAAATATTTATTATTAATACTCATTATTTGACAATTACTATATTTTAGAGTGAAAAATATACTGAATGCATAAATTTTTAAAAAATATATTATGAGTTGAGAATTTTTTTTTTCAATTTTTCAACTATTAAAGTAAAAAGTTAACATGGAAAACTAAAAAGAAATAAATAAATGCTAATTGATTGTGTAATATATGATTTGTCAATTTAATAAATAATATATTATTTTATTTTCACATATTAATATTTATGGAACATAATTTCAATTTATTTGAATTTTTATGGGATTCATTAAAAAACTACGAACAGTTTTCTTGTGTGGAAATGTGACAATGCGTGGGCCATAAAGCTAATTAATCACTAAAGCTATCAACTAGGATCCTTCGTGTATTTAATTATATTTTATAGTATTTTTTATGTCATCATCTTGTTGGTCAGCATCTTTGTCAAGTTTCCTCCTGTTTTAACATTTTTTGAAGCTTTAGGTCTTCTGTCTCGAGTTATTAAAATATAGTAATCCATAAAGAATGCATGCATGGCCTCCAACTGCCCTTGTAATGCTGCCAATGCATGGTTGATCATTTCAACCCAAAAAAAAAAAAAAAAAAAAAAGGCATGGCCGCCTTCATTTACCCAGCTGAAGCTGTAAAGTTCTTAGTAACTTAACCCAACGTTCTCCCTTCAGTTTTACCTAACAGTTGGAATTTCGATTCAAATTCAAGATCTACTTTTGTTCAAAATAGTCCAATTTTATGTACTAAAAAGTAAAAACAAGTTGATGAAAAAAGAAAAAAAAAAAACCGGGATAAGGTGTAATTGGAAGATTTCACATTGACAATAATGTTGTTTCCATTCATCTGGCAATTAATTAACTTCAGAGTCCGGTCAATTTCACAAAGATCAATAAAGCATTGATCAAACAAAAATTAATTTTAATGTACAGTAAAAGTATCCTCGATCGGTTTTTATGAAGCTCCGTTGCTAACCCATTAATTTCCATCAAAATGACGTCACCGACGTTGCTTTTACTTAGAATACTCTGCCGACATTAGGTATTTTCTTGTCAACATATAGCACCGTGAGAAACCCACATAAGGCTGCAGAAATTATTAGGTTCAAATGACTAATTTATACTACATATTAATTTCTTCCAATATATACCTGCATAAAAGAGCGATCAGTCTAATTTCGCAAACAATTAGCTGGAATCTTGTGAGACACTATCGATCCATCTCAGTGACGTGTATGCTCGCAGAACCATTACAATTAATACAACCGAATTAAGTTAGATTCATTGCCCGTACGTACATAATATATATCTTCATGATTTCCTGCTGGATTATTCTTGTTTGTTTGTTTAATTGGTTATAAAGTGCAAGATTAGTATCTACATCTTTATATAGTGATTTAAATCTATATATGTATATATGTTAATCATTTTGGGTTATGAATTCGAAATACGTACCACCTCCTCCCCCAACCCCTCTCCCATCTATAATCCCTTCCATTAATTGGCAACATCTCCACGACCTTATTGCCCTCCCAATATTGATCATCATCTCAGTTTTTGGAATTTATTAATTCGTCCACGTAAAATTGTATGGGTTTTCTAAGTATCAACTCTGTAATCGTTATGCAGCTTTTGTAGTTTAATCTAATTAATTTTGCTTTTTTTTTTTTTGGCACGATCTTGGAATGAATGGAAAAAAAAAAGGGTCATCAGCAAGTGTTGAATGGCACCAGTGTTACTTAGTAGACTTATTTATTATTATTTTTCAATTTAATGATGAAGAATTCGAATCTTCAATAATTTTTCTGGTATATATATATGTCAGATAAACTCCGAGTAGCTATGCAGGCAGTTAATTATCGCTGCAATTGAAATAGGCTTTGAAAGCCTTACTAGCGACTATATATGAGGATGGAGGGAGGCATGGTGTATTTGAGTAATAATCTGATTAATTAAATTAAGTTAGTATCCTTATTAATTCCATATAATAAATAATAAACTTGCGGAAATCTTAGTAGGTTAGTTGCCTTTGACTTGTTTACAACTAATTAAGCTAAACATCTCTCCTCCTCCTCCTCCTCCTCCTCCTCCTCCTCCTCTTCTTCTTCTTCTTCTCTTAACAGTTTGGGGAATTAGGGAAGATGGAATTTGTTTTAATAGGAAGGATCAAGATCTTTTATATATTTTTTTATCCGATCACAAATACTTTGCTAATAACAACAAGGAGACAGTGACATATGCTACCCAGGAATTTTTCAACCACCATTGCATCATTATCTTGAAATACAAGCAATTAATGAAGAAAGAAAAATGTCTGCGAGATGAAAATAATTGAAAGATTAATTAATAATTCAAAAGTACTCGATTAATTAAAATAAAAACAATAATCCTATATTCTCAAACATAAGTCCAGTTTACTTATCAAACTTGGTTTCCTTAGACGAAGACCATGTAGAGTTGCCATTAATAATAATAATAATAACAACAAAACTAGCTGATCATAATTCAATTTCGATAACTACACAATTAAGACAGCATAGGAAAAAGAAACTTGCAAGAAACATCCTACATGATTTCGTTGTTGAAAAC